CAATATTTAAAATTTTATTAAAAATTTTAAAATATGCAGGCAAATTTGCCTGTGTTACAATCTAAGGGATAATAGAACAGATAAATTAGCAAAACAAGATGCTATGCTAAATAATATAGATAGAATCATCTTTAACCCCACTTAAATTAAATGTTTTACTATATTGGAATAGAATATTTATTAAACACACAGTAAAACAAGTAATTAAATTAATTTTGAACTTTAAGACAGATGCAAATTAAAAAAAATTAAAAACAATTTAGAAGATAGAACTAGAAGAAGACCTTAAAGTAAATGAATATGACTATTTGTAAAAAAAATCAAAAAACAATAAAGTTAGATATACAACAATACAAAAAGGTAAATGTCTTAGAACTTTAGCCAAGTATACTAACAAAAAACTACCAGTGCTTGAAATATTAGCACAAAGATGCCCAGATCTATATCAAAATGCCAACTGTATTATATGCAACAAAAAGAAAGAAGAGAATCAAGACCATTTGGCATACTACAAGAAACAAGAAAACAGTTAGAAGATTGCAAAAAAACTAGCAGCAAACTTATATATTGTTAGAACATTAGTAAAGTAATAAATTTCAAATAGTTTTATATTTAATTAATAAAGTTTAATACTAAAAATTTACAAAAAAAAAATAAAAGAAATGAATAGAATTATATATCAATAAAGAAGATATAGTAAAATGCCAACCCTAAATTGGATATTACATTAATAGTATATGTAAATTATATCATCTCTATTAATAATAATTACGCTAAAAGATATATTCTCCAGTTATCTTACATGACTTACTATATTTCAGAAATTCGAATTTATAATCATTACAGGTTTCACTAGGATCTCAAAATAGGTAGAGTCCAAAGACTTTTTCCAAATTTATTGATATTTATAGGCAAAAAAGATATAAAAAAAAGATCTCATAAGACCGATATATTACATAAATGTGACGTACTGTAATATATATACACACATAAGTTTGGTAACGAACAGTATTTAAATCCTAAATTTTAACAGAATGGTGTCTCTTAATGAATATTTAAATTGTATCAACCGTGAACTTTACATTTCTTACTTTGGCAAAGTCAACTTTGAGGAGGCAGCATCATCCAAGAACCAATATAAGTTACCATGTGTAGGCTTAACCAATTGAGCAGGAAGCTTACTATCAGGAACCTCAAATATTTGATGTAAAATATCTTGCTTTCCAGAACCTGTGGCAACAAATGCTACATTACGCGCATGGTTAATTACTGGTAAGGTTAAAGTGACTCTTCTAGGTGGAGGCTTAGGTGAATCTCCAATATATGCCACCCACACGGTTTTCTCATCAAGAAGTGGATGTCCTGGAAATAATGAACAGGTATGTCCATCCGGTCCGATTCCTAAAAGCAATAAATCAAATACTGGAAACGCGATGGACTTTGCACCAGAAAAAACTTCAAGTAATTGCTGTTGATAGTCAGTATCAACCGTTTCTTCATCTCCTTCCACTTCATTTTCAGTTGCAAGCTCAGGTTTAATAGTGTGAATTTTTTCAGGCTGGATTGGAACGTGATCAAACAATTCTTTTTTGCAAACAAGATAGTTGGAATCTTCGTGATCTAATGGAACAATCCTTGATAATTAAATGAATATCAAAATTCAATTTATTTAAATTTTTTTTTTTTTGAATTTAATTATAATTAACATTTTCTTACCTTTCGTCACAGAAAAATACTTCCCATTTATCCCATTCAACACCCTTCCTATTCTTTAAATCTGCGGCAAGCAACTTGGGTAACGACCCACCGGAAATACTTACTGTAAACCTACCACGCGATTTGATAGATTCTTCGGACAATCCAACAACAAGATCCGCAAGTGATACTGAAAGTTCATTAGATGTTGCAAACGATTTAACAATTGGGTGAGTCATCCTACTAAAAAGTTTTAAACCCATTTATTAAATGTTTGTGTGAGGTATTAAAAAACTATATATATGTATGTTCATTTTTAATTTTTGAAATTTTATCAATTTTATAACTCAAATTATACGTGAAAATATTACTTTGATTAGAACAATTTTTATCATTATTAAATTAAACCGAAAACAGTACTTAATTTCTGCCTTTTCTATTTAACAACCTTTATATTATAATTTCCGTTTTATTTAACAATGCTTATTAATACTGAGGCTTCTTACAACTTACCTGAACAAACGTTATTTTCGCAGATGATTGAAAGGTAGTGATCGATTGCTGTTACGTACACATAGATTTATTATTTTTATCATTATACGACACCGTATCAGGTATACGTAATAACCGTATGTCATTAAATTTCCATATAATTGGTATAATATTTTAGTGCAACAAAGTTAACCAATAGAAATCTAGATGAAATTTTCATAATGAGCGAACACGTGACAAATCTATATGTACTTCGGGTATTATTAATATGCTGTAATTATACGGTAAAATAGCCTGGTATTTATACCAAAATTTATTACCGTATAATTTCCAACCCTAATGGCACAATTTATCCGGTTTGGTATAGGGATGGCAAAAAAACGTTTTTTAATGATTTTTAATGATTTTTGAATTGGTTTAAATCATGTTTTAAAACATTGTTGATTGTGCGGTTGATAACTGAAACTGAAAATTAC